TTACACATTTATTTTGGATATAATGTTAAGTACAATAGCCAACTATTATCAAATTTATAATTAAAACACTAAAATTATTTTTCACATAAACTAAAATAATTTAAAGCTAGAAAAAAGTTATCTTATGTCTCAAATTTTTTGATTACAAAGAATTTGATATGCAGGTTTCACTTCATTTTCTAAAGCCAATATTATGTTAGATATCAAAAATAATGAGAAAAAGTTATACTTATTCTGTAAAATTTTAAAAGTAATCACATTTTTTTTAATACAAAATGGATCCTAAAAATGTTTTTTTTTATTAACTATACATCAACAACAACATTTATGAGAAAAAAAATTATACAAAAAAATATATAATAATAATAATAATAATAATATACTTAAGATATCAATAATGTTTATTTATACAAATTACTGTATATCAATATAACAATCAAAACTTAATAGGAGAATTAGCTATTAAGTTCAATATTTGTTGATTGGAATTTTACACAGCTTCAATATACAACAAACATTTCTTTAGAATTTTAATTTTTTTTCTAATATACTTCCTTTTATATATCATATTTCAATTTTTAATTTGACAAAGATTTCTAAACAGTTGACCTGATCAATTTTTGTTTCAAACTTTTATATAAGATGTTTCAACAGAAATCTACAAAGGATTAGAAAAACTTAATGTATTAATTACAGTAAAATACAAAAAAGGCCTAATGGTTTGAGATTTACTTTTGAAATAAGAACTACTTGAAACCTGTTTCAATACTTAAGATAAAATATAATCCATTTTAGCAAATACAACTACAGAAACAGTGATAAATCATACATTCTCAGATTACTGATAATTGGATTGTAATTCTTTATCATAGAAAATGAATGTACGTATGTACGTATGTGTAAGTATGTATGTATGTATATGTATTATACACGTATAATCAGCTATATAATACACACACACAATAATTTTCAAAAACAAGCATAAAACATAAACCTAATGTAAATATAGTAAATAATTAAATAACAAAACAATCAAAAAATTTTGATCATTGATTCAACTTGAGTGTTCATGTTTATTTACAATAAAATAAAAAAATACAATAAAACTAAAGAAATTATTATCTTATTTAGTAAAAATTATCAAAAGCTACTTAAACAAGTAAAGAAAAAAATTCCTAAATACTATAGATCTCTCTGAAACATTATCTCATCAGTATAGTACAGACATGGGTAAATGCAGCTCTTTTTGAGTTACATGCGGCTCTTGCTGAAAGTGTTAATTTCTGCTTTCATTATTATTTTTATAATTTTATTTCCACAATTTTGTGAAACTATGTTTATTAAAAAATTCAATATTTGTTTTATATAATATTTATATTATATAATAAAATCGCAGTACAGAACTGCAATACAGAATAAAAAAGTACAGAACTACGGCTCCCATGCATTTTGCAAAACCTACATTTCAGCTCCCACTGAACTCTTGCTTGCCCACCCCTGGTATAGTATTTTAAAAAATTATAAAAGAAAGCAGTATCAAACCAAACTGAAAAATGATTATTATATTTTGACTTTGCAGTTTGACAACTTTTTCTGCATTTATACATAGTTATTTTTTTGTTATTGATTTTAATCAATATAGTTAACTTCAAACAATCCTATAATTATATCAAAACTATAACTGATATAATTTAATTAACTAGAGAGTAACTTTAATAGAACAAAGACACATGACCTGCTTAAAATGAAGAATTAAATAAAACTTTGCATCTCTTAAATGATGCCTTCTCTTAAATAGTAAATTAGATTTTAGTAGATGTAATACTGAATAAAAAAAAAGCATTATTATTATTATTTAGTAAGCACATTTCCATAATCTAAAAATACTATATAATTATTGAATATTTTATTAATGTATAATTAAATGGAATAATTATCAATTGTAAAATCCAAAGCAAAATTAAACAAAAATTATCAGAATTTATAGGGAAAAAAAGTATAATCTATAAATCTAAATACAGTAAAACTGATGAAATTGCTACATGTAATTCTATAATTAAAATAAGTTTAGAAGGGTAGACTTTAAGGATAAATTTTAAAAAGCATTGATTTAATTTTTATAGATACTACATTATGACATGCTATTCAAAATTGAAGCAAAAGGCAACATTAATTTGATTTACTGGATATCACTTATACTGGATTCTAGTTTCTTTAGTACAATGATGGTAAACACATAATCTGTACAATGATGTCAAGTTACCCACATTGAATATTTAGAAACTATTAGTGTTTATAAATTATAAAGAAATATTTGATAAATTTCAAAACTTTACATATGTAGTGGGTAAACAGGGTCCTACAACTGTTGTGAAAAGTCTTAAAAAGTCTAATTATGAATAGAAAATGAATCTCAAGATAGAAAAATTATCAATCATCAAATAAACAACAGATCTCCCATTGCATTATTATTTTCTTTTCACATATAAGTGAAACAGAGTTTTTAATATATATCAGAAAGACAACAAAAAAGAGTTAAAGTATAATTTGTAAGCATTTACTTCACTGTACTTAAACCAATCAGTTCAAACCAATTTTGAATTTCAATAGTTAGTTTTTTAAAATACAAACAATTTCAGAAAGTACTGCTGGTTTTGATAAATTTTCCATTTTATTTACTGTAATATAGCAAATGTATTTTAAGAATATTTCTAGCTTAATTGCTAATTCATCAGTAATTAATTAAATATCAAAAATTGCTAAAATTCATTGGTTTATTATTGAGTTGCTAATAATTCAGTAAATTTTAAGAATTTTTGAAAAATTCTCAATGATCAAAAACACTTATTTTATATTAAATCACAATTTAATTATAATAAATTTTATATTAATTCATATTACTTGAAACTATATTTAACATTAAAAAAAAATTTTTTTTATTAACACTATTAGTAATATACTACTCTGTACATTTTAAAACCTTGTATTTTCTGTAAATTTTATTTATATCATCAAAAACTTCTTAACAACAAAATGATTGGCAACAGTTGAAATAATAAAAACAGAAACCATTTAATTATGGTAATACTGCATGTTAAATCAAATTACAAAATAATTCATTTGATGATAAATTATTCAGCTTCAATTTGATAAAATTAAATAAAGAACTTGGCAAAAGAAAAACACAATGCAACTTAATTTTTTTTATACTTTGTATAATCTACAAAGCAAATACTCTTATCCATAAAGGTCAAATCTTTCTACAAGTGATCATAAATACCTGTACTTGTAAATATCTTAACTTCTTTCACTAAAAATATATTCTATTATTGTTTAAATAAAAATTATTCATTCATATTGTATTGTATTTAGTAAAGCTTGTATCGGCAAAAATCAAATCTCTCGTATTCCTAATTATGTAAGTTTCAAGGAAACAACAAATAACTAACAGATAAAATTAAATATATATTGATTATCAACAGTATCAAACTGTCAACTAAATTACTTCATTACAATGTAATTTTTTAACAATAATTTTGAAAAAAAATATTTTATAATAGGCCTATATTTATTATTATATTTTTGATTCTCCTAAATATATTTATGTTACAATTAATTATCATCAAATGACAAAATTTAATTCATCTAACAAATGAATAATTGATTGTTTTAATAAGCAAATAATATCCAAAATATAAATCTTAGTATATAAAACATTTGCATTCTCTAATCTAAGGTTTACATTTCGGGGATTATTAATTTATCAAAACATCAATTTTTGGCTACAGAAAAAGAATTACACATATTTAGATTAGATAAATGATTAGAATTCATAAAGAAATCATGTTATTTGATTTACATCACTATATAATAAACATATCTTTCAAATAAAAACAAAAAACAAGGCACAGAATCAATAAATCAAGTAAATTTTTAATATTCCTCCACTAACAAGCAATACAATATTCAATATACAGCTAATTAATTTTATATCTCTTTTATTTTTAGTAATTTATTGTATTTATATCAAAGCTATACAACTATTAAAATGTTTTATAGCTATTACCGTTAAAGAATCTAATATTTTAAAAAATGTAATTTTAAGAATTAAGAGTTTCGGAAAGTAAACAGCAAATTATTTGCCAGTTAAATGAACCAAGCTTAAACAAAAAAATATTACAAGAATGGAGATTTCTTCTAAATCGTAATTATATAAGCATTAATTAAGATTTCATTAAACAGATTAGGGCATAAATCGCGAGAATTTTTCTCGAGAGCGTGTTTTTATAAATTAACTTCTCGATATTATTAATTATTGTCGCTAAAATAAGTTGATCGAATAAACCGTACGGCGCAAGAACAATGAATAACGTAAGTAAGCGAGGAACTCGAAGTCAATACATTCAACTTGACAAATGTAACGATGAAACTGTTAGTTCTTAATCATATTGCCAAAAATCAAACAAGTTGCTTAAAAATTTCAAGTAAATTAAACGGAAAAAATAATAATAATAAATCTTACAACAAACACACGGTTTATCGAAGAAGCACAATTTAAAACTGTAGCATTTAAAGTTAATTAATAAAGTTAATAATTAGCCAAAAGAAATGCGAACTTTTGGCATTTTTTTCTAAATTAATTTTTCACGATTCTTTCTTTAAGAAATTTTGAAATGTGAAGAGGAATCTTGAGAGAAATCTTTTAATTTCCTCATGGAGATTAGCGGGAAAACGAAGGTCGAATGTACTATTTTGTATAAACATATGTATCTATTACAGTTATGATTTAGTGGATTTATCATTTCTTTTAATAAATATCAAACAATTATTTCCGATATTATAAATCGTTTCAGTACAAATAAAACATGTAAAGGATTAAATATCGTATTTGATATTTTAAAAAATCTATTTGAAATAGATAGATATTTTCGAATAAATATCTAATCAATTTCGTATTTTAAGAAAATAAAACCCGGAATAATCGATAATTTCAACTTTACCTATTAGGACTTTTCTTCGAGTCCATTTTTCTATAATTCCAACCGCTATTAACGACGAATTCGTCAAACGAAAGTAATTTTGAATAAATATCGATTCCTATTCTCGATACAAAAGCTAAATGTTGACAACGATAGTCTTCTCCGACAAAATGGCGGAAAAGCTGATCACGTGATCGAGACAATATCTTGCACTAGATGGCGTTCGTTAAAAAAGTACCATAATTATTCCGATTTGATTTATATTTTTACTCACTCTTTCGAAACTTTTCCTTTTATATATATATTTATTTTTCCTCTTCGTTCGGAAAATAAAAATTTAAGAAAATTATTTATTAAAAATATCGCGTTCAAATTAAATTAACGATAGCAATTTTCTATTTGAAAATTTATTTTAATTCTCTTCGCATCGTCTACTCCGTCGAGATTTCGATGTGAATATTACTTTTTATTCGAATAAACGTTAATAATTTTTAAAAATATCTTATAATTACTTTATTAATAATAATATAAAATAGACGAAAATATCTTTACTAATGTTATGATGTCAGCGGGGGGTCTTCGGGAGTCGAGCATTCCTTTTTAAAAATAAAGTACTGTACTTATTTTTATTCTTAATAAGACAAAGAATGAAAAGAAAGTATAAACTTTAAAGATTAATTCTTTCGATTATTTATTTTATTGCCCGAGACATCTTCCGGCTTAAATTCATATCGATTTAATCTTCCAAAGATAAATATTTTATCAATATAATATTATATATTCCGTAAGAAAAAAATCTGTCTATGGCATTTACAGAAATTATATTATCCATTATACAGATTTGTTATTTTTATATAAAAATATGTACTGCATATATACATCTTATGTTTCTATCACTGGCGCGTTTTAGCTTTATGGGGCCCCGGGAGAATTTGAATTGGGGCCCCATTGTTTACTTCAGACATTTTTCTTCGGGGAATGTTTTTGGGGAAATATTTTCTTATAAAAGATTGGTTTGTGGCCTTCTGTTGGTGGGGGCCCCAGGCAATTGCCCTTTTTGCTTACAGGATAACATGCCACTGGTATAGCCTTTATGTTAATTTAAAGAATGATCTACTTGTATTTATTGCCATATAAACAAAATATGTTTATATGCCTAGGAATAATATGCTTATATAGGTAAAATACATTTATAAGCCTTTAGACAAATAAACAAAATAGGCATAATAAGCATACAAGCATATTATACTTTTACATGAGCATAACTTGTCTATATGGATATGTCATGCTTATATCAAGTATATTACCATACTTACAATATACTTATACATTATAATTACCTATCTTTACATAGTCGTACGTTGATAAATTTAATTTAAATCCACTTTAAACAATCACATGTGTATAGCCTACATTTAAGAATTTCATAATAATTCTAAATACGTATCTATTCTTGCAGAAAATTTCAGTTAGAATCTTAATGAATTTGTAGAATGCATAATGCTATTCAGGAAGTATCTTTTATATTTACAAATATTTAATTTTTTAAAATTGAGAATAATATATAAAAAATATTTATACATTAATTAAATATAATAATTATAAGAAATTTTTATCGTTATAATTTTATATAAACATACAGTATAGGCTACTAATTTTCGAACTCAAATAATATCGCTTAATTGTCATATTTAATATAAAACGTGTTTTAACATTTATCATTTTACTTTTTTAGTATCATTTGTTCATCAAAAGTAATGGAAAATTATGAAAAAAGGGCGATAAATAACTTTAAACTGAATTTTCTGCTTATACAGTTTGCTACATATAGGTAATTTGTTTTTTACTTTCTAATTTATTTAATAATTACATTGTTTACCATAGACAATTATTTAAGTTGTAAACAATAAAGTAAAAAGGAATTGCGCAAAATGTCTATCTAAGAAATAAATATATTGCGCGATATAATCATGTTAGGAATATATGTATATTATAATTATGTTAGGAATATTTATCAGAAATGTTAAAATTTTTTCCACTTTATTACAGCATTATTAATATCAATTTTAGCTTCATTCTTTAAATGGGATAGATCAGAGAACAAAATAAACTCATTTCCTTATCTCCGGAAGAGTTAATTTATAATGTATTTCTCTTTAATAAATGTAATTTTGATTGTTTTAAGTATTTTAAAAAATTCATTTAAAAAAACCAAACAATTCTCCATTAATTTTTAACTTTTTGTATTTTTTTATTACTACTTCTAAGGTTATAAATTTTAAAGTTTTTGAACATGAGTCGAAATTACTTTATTGCTCCAGCTGTAACAATAGTTTTCTTTCTTTTAAGTATGTTTAACAGTGAAAAACTATAACATATTCTTCTTAAGAAGGTCACGTTCTTAAACAACTATCTTTACTTCATTTAAGATGATAAATAAACAAATCCTTCAATAAATACACACAAAAGAATAAAAAATGATTTATGAATAATTTAAATTGATATAGCCATTTAATGAATAACATTGAATCATTTATTTTTTCTCATAAAATAATTTTTCAATTCTGGAAAGAATAAATGGCATGCTATTTTTTTTTATTATGATGTGATTAATAAAATAAAGTCAATTTGTTAATCCAAATTTTAAGATTAATAATAATTTTTTTAAGTATTTGACTTTTTAATAATATTCTGAGCATTTTAAAGTAGGCTAGCGGCCTATTTAAATTAAAGAAAACGTTAAAAAGAACATTTTAAATTTTAGGAATGTACAAAACAATGATACTTCTTGTATTGACGTCTTTTAAATTCGAAGTGAGACAGTTAAGATTTAAACATAAAACATAGAAAAATACAGTAGTTAGTGGGATAAATAGAATAGGATTAGAAATGATGATATAGGCTATATATATAAAGAGGAATATGTAGAACTGATAAACAAGTAGATAAGAAAACGAAAATAGGAATGTACGGTGCATGTGGACAGAATAGAGAAAGTAGAATAGTAAATTTATTAAAAGAATGTATTATTGGATGGAAGAAGAGGGAGGGGTTAGATCTCTAAAAAAAACTGGAGAGGTCTGCAAAGTTGAATAATAGACTATAATCTATAGAAAGAAAAATATTGTTTTAAATCTTATAATTAATGATTATACGTATGTTTTATTATAAAAATACATTACAGATAATAAAAGATAAGAAAACTTTAATTATAAAGTGAATACTGAAGATTTTTATTAAAATATTTTGCATTCTTCTGCGTGTTTGAATATTTTGATTTAAAAATGATAAACACAAATATTATAGGATAATTTTAAGTTAAAATCTCGGAAATCAAATGTATAAGTTTAATATATCGATTACATTTTTGGATGTTTGTCTAGAAGAAACTTCGAGTTCAACTTTGACCCAAGTCAAGGCTCGCGTAGAACGACCTTAGAAGGGCGAACCTGGGAACCACCCGTTGTGCCAAGGTTGAAGTACCAAAGATGTGTCTTGCCCCGGGCACGAATTGAAATAATACATCCTGCCTAAACAGTTAAAATAGTTTTAAATTTTTTTAAATAGTTTTAGTAGTGTTAATTATTATGCATNCATTGGCAGATATTAATAGAATATCTACAGTTAAATTAACATAGGAAGAATAAAAAATAAATCATCAGAATGAAAAATATTTTTTATAATTTCTGTCTGTCAAAAATACAAAAAATTCAATTCTCCTCTTTCTGACAATGTTTAAATTAATAAACAGAGCAAAGTTAAAATATATTAATCATATTTAACTTCCTTATAAATTTTAATAATCTCTCAACATAACAGTTAAGAAAAGTATAAAACAATCATAAAAATGATTGTTATTTTATTCTGACTATATCATTAAGATATATTACGTGTTTTTATTCAAAATATTTTAACACAGTTAAAACTTATTAAATATAGACTATTCAATGGAAAAAATTGTTGACTTGGCTAATTTATTTTAAAATACAATTTAAGATGGAACATTTAGATTATTATGTACAGAAGATGTCAGTATTAATACTTTAGACTACATTTCTTACTAAGAAAACTGCAAAATCAATAGAAGTGGAATTTATTCTTGGAAATGGATATTTTAATAGATTTAATTTAAAGAATATTGGAATGTAATCTTTGTATACTTAAAATTAATTATTGATATGATACAGTAGTTAATAAGATGAAAATATAATTTTTTAGTATAAATTAAATTATTTAAATAAAGTCTAATTATATACTTTTTCATTTGATCAGAAAAACAGAATAATAAAAATATATATATTTTAATCTCTCCATAAAAAATAATGAAATATTTTAGAGGAAAGAAATAAAATTAATTTTTATATAAAATACAAACATTTTTTTCATTTTCAGTTCTTTATCACATTTTTATAATTTAGTTTTTACCAATACTTCTAGAATGAAACAAATAATTAATAATTTTAATAATAATCTACTCAAAATATTTAAATGGTTGTTATATACTATAATAGTATTTGTGACATTTATCAATGATTGTATGATATTTTACACATTTATTTTGGATATAATGTTAAGTACAATAGCCAACTATTATCAAATTTATAATTAAAACACTAAAATTATTTTTCACATAAACTAAAATAATTTAAAGCTAGAAAAAAGTTATCTTATGTCTCAAATTTTTTGATTACAAAGAATTTGATATGCAGGTTTCACTTCATTTTCTAAAGCCAATATTATGTTAGATATCAAAAATAATGAGAAAAAGTTATACTTATTCTGTAAAATTTTAAAAGTAATCACATTTTTTTTAATACAAAACGGATCCNGTTAAAATAGTTTTAAATTTTTTAAAATAGTTTTTACCAATTTAAAAGTTATATTATAATTTTATTCTAAATCAAAATCGTGCAGTGAAACTGTATAAAAATCATAAATTTAGTTTACGAACAATTTGAATTCTGTCGAGGTTGTTAAATAAGTTTCACGCTAATTTACAGATTCAGAAAACATTGTAGAACGACGACGTCAGACAATTATGAAACGTTTTATTACTCTACTGTTATTATTTTCTGTTGAAAATTAATTATGATATGTTTAGATAATATAAATTATCACATAAAATATTTTTAAAAATAAAAATATAAATGTGTAGAAATGAATAGAAGCGTAATAATAAATCTAAGTATTAGAATTAGGCTACTATTATATATTATTACTTTTACACCTATAAATGCTGTTTGGGAGTATAAAAAAAAATGAAATGTTTTTGTCTAAAAGCCAAAATTTATTTTTAAAAATATTAATAGGCCAAAGTTATTTTTATTTTCGAGATTTTTCTTCTTCTTTTTTTATATCCTTACCGTGAAATATCTAAAAACTCTGACCTTATGGCGGAGTGTCCTAAATTCTAAAAACTCGTTTGTATCGAATGTATAGGCCTACGTGTGTCCCTATCGCATCATTTTTCAAGGCTTAGCTCACCACGCATAACGTTAGAAACTAACGTTAGTGCCTTTAATGTCATAATTTAAAACTATGTCTCTCATCTATATACGACTTTTCATTATAAACGAAATAAATTTTATGCTATTCAAATAAGTAAGTCGTAACGAAATTTCGCGCCGACATGCAAGATTTTAATCAAAATTACATGATTTAGAATAAATTAGCCTATGTCTGCATTATCTGTGAATTTAAATGTTTTTGAATATTAGAAAGTGCTCTTGGTTTAAGTTAAAATTATGATTATAAGTTGTATAAGTATAGTGTTTACAATAAAACTTTTTTGTATAATGTGATGATTTTTTTGTGTTTCTATTTTTCTGTATTGAAAGATATTCAAGCAATTATATTTTCTGACTTTTATCCTCATCTTTGACTTTTTCGCCTTGTGTGCACTAAGAAGGCTTTTTCCATGCTCATCATAGGTTCGGTAGCTCCACAATGGGGGTGAGGGACAGAGATCAGCATAATTATGGGAATGATCCGCCGATGAAAAATTCTTGGGATTGCTCTTACGCGATCCTAGATCCTCCAGAGCTGCAAGTTAACTGCTTTAACTATCCGACCATCTACTTCTTATAACTCTAAAAACATAAAATTATATTTTTTAATATAAATATTATGATAAATACATATAACTATCTATAATACAAGTACAGTAGAATCCCGATTATCCGAGAGAATGTGGACTGATGCTACTTAGTATAACAGAAAACTCTGATAAAATCGACAGCCACGGCTATTTTGGAATAAAATTACAAATATAAAACGTTTATAATGGAATACAACTTTTACGCCTCTTTTTATACTTTATTGAATTTGATCATAGAACAATTTTTACATAATTTATTATAAAGCTAATATAATAGTTTTAAGAATAAAAATATGTATTATTGTAGTTACATTTTAATATGAGTGGTTTGTCTCACATTGAAGTTAAACAATAAAAGATAACAGAAATAAATTATTTTGTAATATATAAATTAGAATTTTCAAAATATACAATTATAATTACAAAAGAACTATATCGAACAATATTTCTGTTAAGTTAGCAATACAAATTTATCGATATAATTAAATGATTAAGAAATAATTAGATTTTAGAGTAGTTAAGAAGAGTAGTGTATTCGCTTTCAGATTTGCCTCGGATAATCGGGTTTCTGCAGGACTTCTATTTACATTATTAAATTAAGATTACATCATTTTAAAATAATGGAAATTTGCCACTTTTTTAAAACTTAGTGAAAAAATTGATCTTGTCGTCGTCCCGAAAAAGTTATTTAAATTTGACTATGAAAGTTTTATATTACTTTAGTATTTTTTTTTACTTTTTTGAAAGGTATATCGAGCCTAATAGGGCGATATTTTACGTATAATTTATTTTATAATCTAATAAACTGTGTAGTAAATTTAATCAAAATTACATGCACGACCTATCTCAAAGAAATACATCTGAGGTCAAAAAATTAATGTTTACTTTGATTTATTTATTATTCTGCAGATATAAAAATATTTGTTCTATAATTTGAGAGAAAACATTTAAATAAAATAGAAATATAGTGTTTCAAAATGTAGCTTATCTGAAGTAAAATTATTTATCAGCCTTAAAAAATCAGATTAATACCAGGTATTGCTCAGATAAGACGGCGGGAGGGAAAAAATGAGTTTTTTTTTTAAAAAAAAAACCTTGATTGTAAAACACTCCAAGTCAGTGGTTACACGTAAATAAAGATTACAAGACAAAGTCATTATACAGAATCGATATGAGAATTTATGACATCTGCACTTCATTTAAAACAATTTAGTGGAAATATTCCAATAAAATTTTTATTAAAACCTTTCTATTAAATTCTCTTAAACGAAATGTAAACGACGTAAATTCCGCTATCACGATGGAATTGAATGATACAATCTAATACCTTGTTTTTCACATTTTAATTTAATTGTCACTCTGAAGTTTTTTTTTTATAACATTTTATTTCCGAGATAATCGTTGTCAAAAGTCGATATATATACACTATACAATTAATTTGTATTTTATTTAAATTAATTAATTGATTTTTTTGTTTAGTTTTTATAAAAAGAATTCCGTATTTATTGGTTTAAAAAGTCGAAGCGGATATAATTTTTAATTCAATTATTATTGTTTATCAGATAAATATTAAAAAAATAAAAGAAAATATGTGAAGAAGTTTATTAAAGTAACCGTATTTTGTAATATCAATTTAGAAACAGTTTGTTTGTATACATATATTGCCATTTTTTCCTATATTTTTATTAATGCAAACGGTGTTTATTCTATTTATATCTCGATTTATAGCAATATGTCAGAAGCAATTCGTACTCATCTTCACTTCCGCAATTTTCAAATACTGGTTCTGTCGAGTGGAAAATACTTAAAAATGAAATACTATTGGCAGAGTTAGAAACATAAAACATAAAACTGTAAGATGCAACATTCTTAAGAACATTTAAAATATTTGTTTTTAGATGGCAGATATATAATAAAATAGGGAGAGATTGTGTAAATAAGGCAATAATGAAACAAAATTTTATCAAAATTTGTACAGTTAAAAATAATTTTATTCAGGAAAAAAAATCGTCCAAATTACTCTGCTATTCTACTTTAAATGAATGAAAGTTCGAAAATTAAAATAAAAAAAAGAAATTAAATAATGCGCGTTATACACTGAAAGATTCGAAAAGCAGTAAATAAAGTTTACATAATTATTTAAAATCGGAAGAGAAAGAAAAGAAAATTGATAGAGAAGTAAATAAGTACAGTATACTGTAAATATCTGAAGGCCTTTATTGTTTGCTATTCAAAACTTAAGATTACTCAGTCCCAGATTTTTTCATTATCAATTTTCATCTAAGTGTAAAATTTAAAGTAATTCTGTAATTATATTTTAATTACAGCTGTAATTAATATAGAATTTAATATTTTTATCGTATAATACGAAAATTCAACATCGCTTATATTACATTTTTCTTTGAATTAGTATTTCTTTTAGAGTAGCGGAGAAAAATTCTGAAGTTTGGAATTCATCACTTGTATCAAGGTTCACTTTTAAGAACTTTTAAAGCTTTTCATACTCACATCCGTCGGACCTTTGTAAAGTGATAGTTCTATTGATAGTATTTCATGCGTTTTCATTATATATATATATGTATATAATAAAATAACGTGCTGTTGTAAACAATAATATATTTTATCTTATTACGGACTACGGAAAAACAAATTTCATTAATTATTTTTATGAATTGCGTTTAATTTATTACAGAATTATTTTCAAAATTATTTTTTCATTTTAGATGAATATTATATTTTATAATTCTGTAATCACATGTTATTCGGTATTTAATTATCATATTAAAATATTAAATTAATTTATTGAAAATATATTTAGTATTGTTAAAATATTAAATATAATTAAAAACGTTACTTTAAACTTTATAAAAAATAGATTTAAAATTGCAATATTAAACAATTTCTAAAATTCCCCCACATTACTTTAATTCATTATCATAATAGGCACATTAATAAAAAGAGTAAAATTTATGAATAATTTAATAATAAATAAGTAGTCTAATAATTTTTTGTTAAGCCAAAATTAAAAATATCGACTTAACAAGATAAAAATATCTGAAAAATTAGAAGATTATGAAAATTAAAAAATTTCCCGTTTAAAGTCTATGGACTAGTAAAAATGTTTTGAAAATTTCAAGAGGCGATCACGCCTTTATTTTCACTATTCTGGTGCATATATAAATATTAATGAGGGACTTCAACAGGAAGAACACATTATGTAGTCGAACTGACGATTATGATCTTTTTCCTTCTCCAGAAGTCCTTGATAGAAAACTGGTTAACGTCTGGCCTCGCTTTCGTCGTTCCTAAACTCCTAGGTGCATCACCATGTGTACACTCGGTAGACGAAGTTACTCTCTAGGACATGAATAGTAACCAGGGTATAAGGGGCTCTCCGCTTTGTTTCCATCTTCTCCTTTCCAGATTCTACATGATTTCGTTTAAGTGACGGATTGACGTAAGTTGTTTATATTTTTCTCTCTATAACTTTAAAAATGACGTCTACTTTCGAAATAGGTCACACTCGATTCTTGTAAAACTACTTTTGAACTTGGTAATTTCCTTTCTTTCTCATCTCTTTGTATCTTTAAAGAGTGCTGCTTGATTTGTTTGGAACAAACGGTGAGAGATTCATCTATAAATTAAATCTATAAAATAACACAAATAAGCTTACAAAATATATTTTCGGATTTATTCTGTTTAAGTATGTTTATCTATACCTTGTATATACATCTAAGCTATTAAATCCATAATGTCATACAATACAAAATGGGCTGCGATGATTTACATAAATTTCTTTCTGTGTGTACTGTACTATATACAGATATGTATACAGATTAATCTTATATGAAGTTCATATTATAGTTAAGGCCACCTTTTAAACAAGATTAATTAGTAGATAGAAATCAAATATTACAGTCGATGCATAAAGTATGACTTGATTATTAATAGTAGATCTGATATAAATATAAATTTTATTTATTTTTAATATCGATATCTATAAGTTTAATATAAAAAGCTAATTACTTAATTAATTAAATATTTTACTGTCGAAACGTTGTTTTTCTAGTAAACGATTAAGAAATAATTAGACTTTTATTTTTTTATAATTAATCATCTTTTAATTATAGAATGACATAGGCTTTTATTATACGGCAATAATTGTGACTATATTATTCTACACTATCGATATTATACAATGTTTATTCAATATTTTGATTACTCATTCTTTATTCCGTAATTTTTTAAGAATTTTTGAGATGTTCTGCCTTGATAATGCACGGAAAACGAACTTTATACTGTCTCCATAGTCGAATACTAGAATATTCGGATTATTATTAAAAATATCAGGGTCATAGGAAGATTTTGGAAGTCTGAACTCAAAGTTATGTAATTTAAAATGTTATATATTTCAGATTTTAAATATTATTAATATATAAGTGTGTTTGATTGGTTGAAATAGTGTGCATTTTACGCAAGTTTGACGTCGTAATTTAGAATGTCTCAACGTAAAACTGAAGAAAAATGTCAAATTAAAATAAAATGTTCACTAACCCAACTAAACGAGCAGCCTCTATACTATATAAAAGTAATTTGTATTTTTCTGCAGTAGTCCTATATTCTTAGATTTTTATTAATTAGTAATAAAATGAATTAAGTACTGTTTATATTACATCTGTATATAAATTTATTTAATTAAGTATAGACTATTTTATCTTTATCATCGTTCGAGGACTCTCAAACAAAATTCCTGAAAGATTAACGTAGTTAATGAACCGATTTGTTTTCGTTGAAACGTGTCAGATCGATAGCATTTTACGAGTAAGGTGGCAAACTTTCTTTTTATGTAACATAAAAAAAAAAGTTACTGGAAAATATGAAATATTTAATTAATTTTCTAAAGTATGGAGTAAGTGAAACTTAAACATTTTGTTAAGATTTCACGTCGTGATTACGATAGAAGTGATTTATGACTAAGTCATTTAAGAGTTGTAACTTAATATACTCTTGTTTTAAAGTCAATGAAAAATATATTTATCTCCATACATTCTACAGTATAATATTTCGGTTATCGGAAACATTGAATTTAATTTATAATTTCCTATATAGAGTTGTTTTCAATAATTGTTTAATTTTTTATTCGACGTAATAATTGAACTTAAATTATGATCGACACGCAAAAAACAAGTCGAGACTCTGACTCGACGTATGTTAGGAATTAAGGAATTTTTTAGTAACTAACATCTGTTTCGGAGAATAATCTTGGTTTACAGCACTGTTTCGTTGTCGTTCTCTCCTCCCTTTTTTATTTTTAGTTTTAACGTTGAGACAAATATTTCTGTTAAGTTAGCAATACAAATATATAAGCGAGGCGTGTTTGATTATTGTTTTCTTTTGATTTAATTCATACTAAGCGAGGATTTAGTACGAAATTGTAATAAATTCATTTTCATAATTTATGACACGTCGCATTTTCTTGCAAATTTAATTTCTAACGTACACTCACTATACATGTATTAATTAAATATTTATTAAACTTTACTTTTTAACCTAAATCTTAAAAAAAATATTTCATTAATTAAATGAATACATAATTCTCATAATTGGATTTTACGAATTTCTAATTATGTCTCAAAACTTTTTATAGCGCATACGACAACGTAATTTTAATTAATAATTTATTTTTTATTTAAAATTTTGATAAAGTTAAATGAAATTGGTTTCTTTGAAGTGTCGAAATGTACAGAAATTTCGTTTTTTGAGTAATGTATATAAAATATATTATTTAAGTATTATATTTATACAGATCTGAATAATTCTTATAAAAATTCTGAATTAAAATTCAGTCGACAACTTAATTTTATGGTTCCATTTTCAATAAATCTGAATTATTTTTTCCTATACAAGGCATATTATATCACCAGAAATTTATTAGTATTAATCACGTTGATTTTATAATTGTACACTTTTAATTTAAAAACTATTTGATAGAAATTTAAGTTTTATCATTTGATTTGTTTAGAATCATTAGGAGTATAAATAGAATAATCTGTAAAATCGATTCGCTTTTTAAATCATGAAAGGACAAATAATTTAATGTAAACCTCAAAGACAAAATGTGGACTACTAGCGATAAAAGTTGTAAAAGTATAACTATCTAGATAAGAAAACTTGTTAGTCGTATATAAAAAAAAAAAAAAAAACGAAACGAACTTAATGATGTCAATGATAATCAAATGCTTTTTTTTTATTTTCATTATAATTGTCTTCTTTGAAGACAGGAATTTAGAGGTATTTATCCCCAGCGGCGTGTCTATGTCTGACTAACAGATGCAGGTTTTACCACAGGTATTGACTATAGTTTTTAAAAAATTCCAACCAATTTTTTTTTTTGTTTCCGTTATATGTGCAAAACTTTCACTTGATTTCTGAAGGACGTTCTACTAACAAAGACAGAACATAATATTTGTGTAGATTACTTTGAATAATGTTTTAATACTTAATATTATGAAGATACAAACAAAATTTGGTATAATTTTTAAGAACTTTTTTTTTGACGAGAATAAATGGAACTTGTATAAACTTTTTACTTTCTAAATTTAAAAATAGAAAAAGTAGAATAAGATAATTCTTGTAAAGAGAAGATTCGTTATAGGTAGGAAAGAAAAGAATTTTTAAAGTCTAAACTTTTATACTATAGGTTACATTTAAACTTAAAACTTTTATAATTGTTGGAGGATGGCAGAAGAGACAAAATTGAATTGTTAAAATTCTTAAAATCTTTTTCAAATTTAGAAGACTATGGACTTATTTTGAGCAATAGTTCTTCACATATCGATATTTTTAAAGACAATTAGTTCAAAAAACTGGAATGTTCTATTCTTATTTCTATAAATCAACGTATAGATAACATACCATCAATAACTTTTCATCTATTCGTAGATTTATAATGACGTGAAATATATTTTGGTGCTATAATAAACTAAGATAACAGTAAAAATTCGTATCTCATGATTAAATTATGAACAATGTTTTTATACTGTAAGCCATACATGTCAAGGTCTACAAATTATCTGGATAGCCTTTCTATATGAATAAATTTGTCACATATGCGTAAGCCCTCGTCCGATTAGCGATGTGTAGGCTAAATCTTTGTGTGTATTCTTGTATTTATTTTCAAGTTGTGAAACGTTCCCTTTGTGGAATTTCTACATCGAAAGAATCCCAAATTCAGTCTAAATATAGCAAAGTTTCATTTTACTCATGGAAAAAATATATATACTGTGAGTTAGTTGTACGATTAAGTGCGTAAGCTATTTATTACGTCACAGGAAGTAGTAACGTTAATCGTCTATTGTCTCGTCAGCCGGAAAATATAAAAGTGGATGCAATTATAGACTGATACTATGAAGTAGTGTTGGAAGGGGATTTCTAGTTTAAATCCACGAAATCCCGAATTGCATTGTTATTAGGATTCTTATGGGATTACAAGACACGTTTTACGACTTACGTCCAATAAAATCATTCTTTGATTTAGATGAAAAAAAAATAATTATNTGGAGAACAATAAAAACACTACACTCAACAAGCCACCAATAAAACTCAACTGCCTAACCTATAACCAAAGTCTCCTTTTAATTTGTTATTTAAAAAAAGCGCTTGACAAACTTGCCCCGCATGCCGAAGTTGCCCCGATCTCCCCTACGTCTAATAAAATCATTCTTTGATTTAGATGAAAAAAAATAATTATACTTTTATTAAAATGTGTAAATAAAACGTTTTCTAAGCAAAAATGAACGAAACTAAAAAGTTCAAATAAATATAAATATCATATATAGCTAGAATGTGTTATACAGTCGAGTCCTCATAAGTCGTCATATGTATAATTAGACACTGTCGGTTAAGTAGTCAGTTTTCTGTGCTCCCAGCTTTACATAGGCATTAATGTGAAAAAAACTGGTTTACTCGACCCCGTTTAACTCGTCAGGATAAATCGACATACTTTTTCTGTTCCACACTCGTTTAGACGTCTGATAAGCGACTCTCCTCCTGAAAAAAATGAGTTTACACCAACACAGTTTAACGTCACAACAGAATCCGATTTTGCATTTTCTCATCTTTCATTCATGTGTTATTTGCAGCGCATGTTTCACATTTCTGTTAGAAATGAGTATCCGAAAGCTAACAACGCTTACGCTGAAGGAAAAATACGAACTTGTATCTGAATTTGAATATAATAAAACTTTGCAAGCCGAATATACAAAACAAAAAACCTTCCAAGAACAACATTCCTGAAGAAAAAAGAGAAAATTAAGAAACTTTTCTTTGGTCTTCGAATTATTGTAAATAGAGTATACAATATATTGTAAGCCTATAGTACTGTATTCGCTTGTGCCAACGAAAGATCTAACACCTAGCGGTATTAGCGCGAACTATATAATGGCGGCAGCTATGGGT